AAAGGGAGGCGGTAATTTCATGCACTGGCCAGGGAGGTATACCATCTTTTAGAGTGAAGAAGAGCAGAATGTAAGTGTGGTGGAGGTACGTGAGGCATTACGTAGAATGAAAGGGGGTAAAGCAGCTGGAACTGATGGGATCATGACAGAAATGTTAAAAGCAGGGGGGATATAGTGTTGGAGTGGTTGGTACTTTTGTTTAATAAATGTATGAAAGAGGGGAAGGTACCTAGGGATTGGCGGAGAGCATGTATAGTCCCTTTATATAAAGGGAAAGGGACAAAAGAGACTGTAAAAATTATAGAGGAATAAGTTTACTGAGTATATACCAGGAAAAGTATAACGGTAGGGTTATAATTGAAAGAATTAGAGGTAAGACAGAATGTAGAATTGCGGACGAGCAAGGAGGTTTCAGAGTGGGTAGGGGATGTGTAGATCAAGTGTTTACATTGAAGCATATATGTGAACAGTATTTAGATAAAGGTAGGGAAGTTTTTATTGCATTTATGGATTTAGAAAAGGCATATGATAGAGTGGATAGAGGAGCAATGTGGCAGATGTTGCAAGTATATGGAATAGGTGGTAAGTTACTAAATGCTGTAAAGAGCTTTTATGAGGATAGTGAGGCTCAGGTTAGGGTGTGTAGAAGAGATGGAGAATACTTCCCGGTAAAAGTAGGTCTTAGACAGGGATGTGTAATGTCACCATGGTTGTTTAATATATTTTATAGATGGGTTGTAAAAGAAGTAAATGCTAGGGTGTTCGGGAGAGGGGTGGGATTAAATTATGGGGAATCAAATTCAAGATGGGAATTGACACAGTTACTTTTTGCTGATGATACTGTGCTTATGGGAGATTCTAAAGAAAAATTGCAAAGGTTAGTGGATGAGTTTGAGAATGTGTGTAAAGGTAGAAAGTTGAAAGTGAACATAGAAAAGAGTAAGGTGATGAGGGTATCAAATGATTTAGATAAAGAAAAATTGGATATCAAATTGGGGAGGAGGAGTATGGAAGAAGTGAATGTTTTCAGATACTTGGGAGTTGACGTTGTCGGCGGATGGATTTATGAAGGATGAGGTTAATCATAGAATTGATGAGGGAAAAAAGGTGAGTGGTGCGTTGAGGTATATGTGGATCAAAAAACGTTATCTATGGAGGCAAAGAAGGGAATGTATGAAAGTATAGTAGTACCAACACTCTTATATGGATGTGAAGCTTGGGTGGTAAATGCAGCAGCGAGGAGACGGTTGGAGGCAGTGGAGATGTCCTGTCTAAGGGCAATGTGTGGTGTAAATATTATGCAGAAAATTCGGAGTGTGGAAATTAGGAGAAGGTGTGGAGTTAATAAAAGCATTAGTCAGAGGGCAGAAGAGGGTTGTTGAGGTGGTTTGGTCATTTAGAGAGAATGATCAAAGTAGAATGACATGGAAAGCATATAAATCTATAGGGAAGGAAAGAGGGGTAGGGGTCGTCCTCGAAAGGGTTGGAAAGAGGGGTAAAGGAGGTTTTGTGGGTGAGGGCTTGGACTTCCAGCAAGCGTGCATGAGCGTGTTAGATAGGAGTGAATGGAGACGAATGATACTTGGGACCTGACGATCTGTTGGAATGTGAGCAGGGTAATATTTAGTGATGGATTCAGGGAAACCGGTTATTTTCATATAGTCGGACTTGAGTCCTGGAAATGGGAAGTACAATGCCTGCACTTTAAAGGAGGGGTTTGGGATATTGGCAGTTTGGAGGGATATGTTGTGTATCTCTATACGTATATGCTTCTAAACTGTTATATTCTGAGCACCTCTGCAAAAGCAGTGATAATGTGTGAGTGTGGTGAAAGTGTTGAATGATGATGAAAGTATTTTCTTTTGGGGATTTTTTCTTTTTTTTGGGTCACCCTGCCTCGGTGGGAGACGACCGACTTGTTGAAAAAAAAAAAAAAAAAAAAGGATCAACTTTGTCATCTTTTGTACATTTTCCAATGCATTTATATCCATTCTGTAATACGGTGAACAGAACTGAGCAGCATAGTCTAAATGAGGCCTAACCAAAGATATATAGAGTTGAACAACAACCTGAGGACTTTTATTATTTATACTTCTTGCTATGAAACCAAGGATTCTGTTAGCTTTATTGCAAACACTAATGCACTGTTGTCATGGTTTTAGATTACTACTAACCAGAGCTCCTAAATCCTTTTTGCATCCATAATATTAAGATCTACATTATTTAATTTATATGTGGCATGGTTATTTTCATGTCTAACATTTAGAACTTTGCATTTGTCTGTATTAAACCGTTGTCTTGATTGAAGAATAACGTCTTTGAGAATGTCCACGTCTTCCACAGTCTAGAAATACGCACACTGGTACACTATTTTCCCACAAGGTTTGTCTTTCGTGGTAATGTTATTGAAGAAGCTGATCACACTTCTCTGTAAGTGTTTTGATGTGTCTTCGAGATGCTTTAATGCACAAAAACGCGTGGATCAGTGTTCTCTGTTCATTATCCCGGCATCAATGTGTCCCTTAGCTGGGTTAAAAGTAATCTAGCTAAGACGCCTCTCATTGCACTTCGCTTGGCCCCAGCACATAAAGGAAAAGCCGACATAGCATATTTCCCCTGCTTGCCAAACTTCCACTATGAGGCAATTCAGAATGTTTGATTCTTGCTGTCTAAGCATAGACAATAATGTACATCTTTAACCCCTTCAGGGTCCAAGGCCCAAATCTGAAGTGGTGCCCCAGTGTCCAAGAATTTAAAAAAAAAAAAAAAATTATTTTTTCTTATGAAATGGTAGAGAATCTTTTTGTGAAGGTAATAAAACAAAAAGTACGAAATTTGATGGAAAATTGACGAAATTATGCTCTCGTGAATTTTGATGTGTCAGCGATATTTACAAATCGGCGAATTTGCCGACTTTGACTCCCATTTTAGGCCAATTACATTATTCCAGTCAACTAAATTCTTAGCTATTTCACTAGTATTACTTCTATTCTATCGATTGAGCACAAGAAATCAGCAAGTCAACTGTTTCAACTACAAATTAAAGTGATCGGAAATTGTTAATTTGGCCAATTTAACACAAAGTTCAAAATATTCCAATTTCAAAATAGGGTCCAGAATAAACAATGTAGGTATTCCTGGAACTAAACTAACATTTCCTCTGTTCATTAGTTACATTTTGAGGCTTTACAAATAAATTCCATTTTGATTTTTTATTCACATAATGAATTTTTATTCACACCAAAAAAATAGATTTACTCTTATGCAATACTGTAATAATTGTATAAATATCATCACCATATTTGTGAATGCATATTAGACCCACCAGCTGGCGTGTATTAGACGTGTGAGGTCGTTTGTTTACTCTTGAATATCGGCAAAAATTTAACATTTCTGCTACTTTGAGCTCAGTTTCAAGCCATTTACAGTGCTAAAACCAATCAAAATCATCTCTATTTCTGTAATATGTCTTCCATTCTATCAATTGAGACCAAGAAATCGCAAATACAACTATAAAAAACATACGAAAAAACACTGCAAAGTCGCTGTTTTAATCGAAAAATCATGATTTCAGTTTTTTTCTCTCATTATACACAGTGTGCTGCAGGATCTGTTTTATGTGGTGCACACATACCACATAAATGTATTCTCTCATCTAGGCCCAAATGTACCACTCACAGTTTATCAGAGTGAGCTGAGCTCATGACGTAGATCTACGGTTTGGGCCCTGAAAGGGTTAACATGGTAATAAAATGGGTGCAGGATTTTCCTTAATTGTCCTGCTAAGGTAAGAGATTGATTGTCTCTTATTAAACTACACTACTTGCAACACTGGTCTCTTGCAAAGAGTCGCATGACCCATAACTGGTACATCCTGGTTAAACATCTGCTTGTAATTACTTGGGAAGTAAACAAGATGCTTGTCCCTTCTGAGAGGGCTGGGCCCCTCAGGGCTGAAGGGGGCTGATAACCCCTCCTTCTAGAGAAAATTTCTCCACAACTATTACAACTGTCCTATAAAGTGCACAAAAGTTGGTAATTTGGATAATTTTACACAAAATTAAAAAAAAAAAAAAATACAAATTTAAAAAGTGCAAAATACGGTATACTTTCCTGGCACTAAAACATTTCCTCTGTTCAATAATCATTTCCCCAGGCCTCTCCTATTTTACACTTTCCCTTCATTTTGAATTCATACTCGCACAAAAACAGATTGACTATTTCCCAGAAAATAAAATATAACCAGGAATGATTGGTCATGGTTTACAACATTCCAATAATATAATCACACCTACTAAAAATCCAAAAAAAAAAAAAAACACACTTAGGGGTGTAAGGGGGGCCTTACGAGTCCTCAGGAGAATCGACAAAAATTTAATATTTCCACTATTTTGAGCCCAATTTCACGCTGCTTCATCTGAAACCAACCAAAAATCAAATCCATTTCGGTAGTATATTTTACATTCTATCAAATGATACCAAGAAACAGCCAGTAAAACCATAAAAGCCATCCTAGAAAACTCATTTGCTATTTTCAGCTAAACTTGGTCAGAGGTTTGCTTTTCCCATCAAGCATCATGTGGGGCAGGACTTTTTGTATGTGTACTTTCCTCATCGCTGCACAGACCTTTCTTCTTTCTTATCTAGACCAAAATTTACTACTCACGGCTTATCTGAGCGAGCCGAGCTTATAACTTAGAACTACATGAGGGGACAATGGCCACAATGACGTAGTTCTACATGACGGCCATTGAAAGAGTTAAGGTTTAGAATATGTACATTTCTAAAAAGTAAAGAAAATTTCTGTTTTGCAGTTTTATCATAATGTAATGATTTGCCCAGTAGGGCGATGATAATTTAACTTAACCTGACTGGGAAGTGAACTGTTTCTCTGTTGAATCATGTATTACCTATTTCCAGATTTCTTTGTGAACAAAGTCAAAGATGCACCATTTTTGTTTACACCTGATATTTCAAACTAATGTTTAAAAATATTTCAGATAGGTGTGAAATCTGATGTGTGGTCACTTGGATGTATTCTTTACAACTTGGTTTACGGACGAACACCATTCCAGCACATCAGCAACACCTGTCGGAAACTCTGGGCCATCTGTAATCCCGACTCTAAGATAAATTTTCCTGAAATTGAAGATAAAGAGGTCATGGATGTATTGAAGCTTTGTCTCCAGTATAATCCAAGTAAGCGACCCACCATCCAAGAGCTGCTGGATCACCCATACTTGACTAAGCATCACACTAGCAAAAAAATACCGTCTACTCCCAACCATGTCAAGAGGATTATGAGCCAGTTGGAGCAGCTTACCCCAGATACCCTGGAAAGGGTTACCTCGGTAAGTTTTTTTTTTTTTCTTCAATGCGATGTCCATCTCCCACCAAGGCAGGGTGACAAAGAAAAATGCAAGTTTTCTTTTTACATTTAGTAATTTTTACAGGAAAAGGGGTTACTAGCCTCTTGTCCCCTTACCTCAATAAGTGTGGGCCTTTATTTAAAATAACTTAGCTATTCTTCAGAGAAGTCAGGTGGCCTGAGAAATGACGAGCGTTACATTCTCAGGTTATACACGTCAGTTGTTCTCCCTATTTCATGGGAGTTAAGTTCCTGGAGGTGATGGCAAATTCTGACTTGTGTGTAATAGGAAATTTTGGTTGTCTGAATTACCTAAAAGTTTTTTGGCTGTATATTTTTAAATTTTGCTCTGATCTGTTATATATGCAATTATGGCACTAATGCCACAAAAATGCAGGAAATTCTTTTGTCTTTACATCCTTTCCTTTCAGCATTAGGTTACGAAGGTCTTTCATCACATTCATTGTTCGCACCTCTATTTACATTCCTGAATCCTTCGTCCATAAGCCATGTGTGTCATAAGAAGCGACTAAAATGCCAGGAGCAAGGGGCTAGTAACACATTCTCTTGTATACATTAGTAAATGTAAAAAAGAGAAACTTTTTTTTCTTTTAGGTTACCCTGCCTCAGTGGGAGATGGCCAGTGCTTTAAAAAAAAAAAATTACTTTCCCCTTCCTTTAAATTTTTTTTTCTATATTTTTTTTTTTGCATTTTTTTCAGCCCATTTTTTTTTAATTTAAACAGAATTTTGCTGCGGGAAAAGGGGGGAAATTTAGAAAAAATGTTTACAAAAATTCGCCATGGGGGAAGTGGAAAAAAATTTTCTTCCCCGTAACCCCATGCAGTCATAAGAGGCTACAAAAGATGCCAGGAGAAAGGGGTTTAGTACCCCCTTTTTTTCTGTACAAATTTAAAAAAATTTTTAAAAAAAGAGAACTTTCATTTTTGGGCCCCCCTTTTCCTCAGGGGATACAGCGGTTTGTTGAAAGTATATTTTTACAAAAATTTAAATACTACCCCATTCAATTTGGAGAAGTGAGTTTTAGTTCTTGGTCATACTCCAAAAACTTGACTGATGGGCCTAAAGATAGTTTTTTTCAGCTTTTTTTTTCCGTCTTTTTTCCTTTGTTTTCTGCTTTCCCATTTTGTTTTTATTCATTAAATTTTCCCACTTTTTTTTTTGGGTCACCCTGCTTCAGGGAGAGGGCCCGGCGTTTTTGAAAAAAAATATTTTCGCTATTTTAAAAAACCCCTTTTTATGGGTGGCTTCCTGAAATTCCTGGGGTTTCATTTAGATTAAACCAGAATTTTTTACCCTGTCAATCTTTTACAAAAAAACCGGTACTTTTTAAAACAGATAATGGGATGGTAAAAAAAGCAACCATCTGCGGAGGGGGGTACTGTTTGAAAATTAAATGGAAACGTTAATATTTTTTTTTTTTGGGCCAAATTTGCTGATCCTACTTAAATATACAAACTTGAAACTCCCCTTTAATATAACATAATTTTTTAACTTTTCCCAAAGTGCATCTAATACAAAGTACTTCTTAAATTTTGGAATATTTTTTTTAACCTAGGAAACTTGGTCAGAGAAACCCGACTGTGGGGAAGATAATTTCCCAAAAACCACAGTGTCCTTTCCCTCTAAAAAAAATTTTTATGTCATCATTATATTTCTTTGGAGATATCAGTCGTCAAATGTAATGTGAATATTAGACAGGAGCATTGAACCAGAAATATTACTGGGAAGTACTTTAGCCCAACGAGAACATTCCAGGGAACTCTCAAGACTACAAAAATTTGAACTGAACCCACAGATAACAGAATTTACTAGAACTGAGGGTACAGTACTCCAGAATTGTTCTTCACAAATTTTGAGGTAATCAGACACAATTTAGAGTACATTAAACTTGAATCACTACCTCACTGAGGTACAGTAGAGTATAAATTCATGTCAATAACTAATAGGAGAGGGTATTTACTAAATTTAATTTCAACACCAAGAATTAAGTGGGATGAAATAGTTAACTAAAAAACATTCCTTAGGGAAACTGTCTTGAGCATTCTTTACCTATAACAATGTATGGAAGCTGAATACAGAAGTGTACAAGGTCTGTGCAAAATATATCCTCCTTAGAAAGCCCAATACTAGATCAGTTGTATAGCCCTTGTGGTTTAGCGCTTCTTTTTTATTATAATACTAGTGTATAAAGTGTATAAACTAAGGGAGGAGGAAGTTCGGGCGAGATATAAGTGACTATTGGCAGAAAGGTGGGCTAGTGCAAAGATGAGTAGTGGGGGGGTTGAAGAGGGTTGGAATAGTTTTAAAAATGCAGTATTAGAATGTGGGGGCAGAAGTTTGTGGTTATAGGAGGGTGGGGGCAGGAGGAAAGAGGAGTGATTGGTGGAATGATGAAGTAAAGGGTGTGATAAAAGAGAAAAAGGTAGCTTACGAGAGGTTTTTACAAAGCAGAAGTGTTATAAGAAGAGCAGAGTATATGGAGAGTAAAAGAAAGGTGAAGAGAGTGGTGAGAGAGTGCAAAAGGAGAGCAGATGAAAGAGTGGGAGAGGCACTGTCAAGAAAATTTTAATGAAAATAAGAAAAAATTTTGGAGTGAGTTAAACAAGTTAAAGAAAGCCTAGGGAAAGTATGGATTTGTCAGTTAAAAACAGAGTAGGGGGGGTTAGTAGATGGGGAGAGGGAGGTATTAGGTAGATGGCGAGAATATTTTGAGGAACTTTTAAATGTTGAGGATGAAAGGGAGGCGGTAATTTCATCACTGGCCAGGAGGTATCCATCGTTTAGGAGTGAAGAAGAGCAGAATGAAAGTGTGTGGGGGTACGTAGTTTTACTAAATTAAAAGGGGGGAAAAGCACTGGAACTGACGGACAGACAGAAATGTTAAAAGCAGGGGGGGATATGGGGTTTGGAGGGGGTGGACTTTTGTTTAATAAATTATGAAAGGGGGGAAGGGTACCTGGGGTTCAAGAGCATGTATAGCCCTTTTATATAAAGGGAAAGGGGCAAAAGAGTTGAAAAAATTATAGGGAATAATTCTGATATACCAGGAAAAGTATAGGTAAAGGGGTTATAATTGAAAGAATTAGAGTAAGACAGAATGTAGAATTGCGGATGAGCAAGGGGTTTTAGAGGGGGTAGGGGAGTGTAGACGTGTTTACATGAAGCATATATGTTGAGCAGATTTAGAAAAAGGGTGGGGAAAGGTTTTATTGCATTTATGGATTTAGAAAAGGGCATGTGATGGGTGGATAGAGGACAATGGGGGCAGATGTTGCAATATGTGGAATAGGGGTAAGTCTAAATCGTAAAGATTTTTTTACGAGGATAGTATGGCTCGGGTTAGGTGTGAAAGAGAGGAACTACCCCCCATAAAAGAGCCCTTAGACAGGGATTGTAATTCACCATGGTTGTTTAATATATTTTTTAGTGGGGGTTTTAAAAAAAGTAAATGCCCAGGGTTTTGGGAGAGGGGTGGGGTTAAAAACCTTTTATTTTACTTATACGCTAATAAACAGAAAATTTTTGGGGGAAAGCATTAGTATGCAGAAGCAAGCATCCTAGCCGCATAACCTGCCTTTTAGTTAGTATGCTAGTTTAAATCCTATCGACTGCACCCTTTAAATTACAAAATTTACAGAAAACTAAATGGTACACTTTTCTGGTTGGACCATACTGATGGGCCGGCGCTTCCTTTTGGGTGACAGGGGCGGAGCGCGAACCTCCCAACAACTTATCTAATGACCCACCCCGGGTTAGAGTTTCACAAAAAATAGAAGAGCAGAAAGGTACAATACCGTACTGGGAAAAAAACAACAACAAAAAAACATAGGAGAGATAACTTTCCATAACAATATCGTCCGACTTGGATCATTTACAAAGTCACTGTAAATGGTCCAAGTCGGACCGAAACATTGTAAACTCTCTCGTGTGCGGGTTATAGTGTAAAAAAAATAATAAACTAACATTCCTGGTCTATTAAATGCCCTGAAATTCACCAAATGCTCGCATATTCTGTTGCATTTTGTAAATTTTTTTTTTCAAATCTCTTTTGAACACGAGTGGGAAAAATTTTTAAAAGCTACTAATAATTAAACATTCTTTCCCGTCATTCATTATTGATTTTATAAATATTAAATTATGGGGAATCAAATACAAAATGGGAATTGACAGTTACTTTTTGCTGATGATACTGTGCTTATGGGAGATTCTAAAGAAAAATTTCAAAGGTTAGTGGACGAGTTTGGGAGTGTGTAAAGGTAGAAAGTTGAAAGTGAACATAGAAAAGAGTAAGGTGATGAGGAAATCAAATGATTTAGATAAAGAAAAACTGGATATCAAATGGGGAGGAGGAGTAGGGAAGAAGTGAAATGTTTCAGATATTTGGGAGTTGACTGTCAGCGGAGGATTTATGAAGGATGAGGTTTAAACCCAATAAATTTTGATAAGGAAAAAAGGCAGTGGTGCGTTGAGGTATAGGGTGGAGACAAAAAACGTTATCTATGGAGGCAAGAAGGGATGTATGAAAGTATAGTTGTACAACACTCTTATATGGGTGTGAAGCTTGGGTTGTAAAATCGCAGCTAGGAGGCAGTTGGAGGTGGGGGTTGATTTTTCTGTGTAAGGCATGTGCGGTGTAAATATAGCAAAAAAATTCGGAGTGTGAAATTAAGGGAGGTGTGGAGTTAATAAATTATTAGTCAGGGCTGAAGACGAGTTGTTGAGGTGGTTTGGTCATTTAAGAGAATGATCAAAATAGAATAACAGGGAGAGCATATAAATCTGTAGGGGTCGCCTGAAAAGGTTGGAGGAGGGAGTAAAGGGGGTTTTGTGGGCGAGAGGCTTGGACTTCCAGTAAGCGTGCGTCAGCATGTTAATAGGAGTGAATGGAGACGAAGGGTATTGGACCTGACGATCTGTTGGAGTGTGAGCGGGGTAATTTTTATAAGGGATTCAGGGAACG